CACTGACTTTGAATGATGTCACATACACAATGATAATGTGCTATTAATTACATAAAAATGTAACAAGGCAACACCTGTTAGTTCTATCAAACTGAAAGACAGACCTACCCTATTAGATGAGTTACTGGTCCAAAGGGTAACTTAATCTATTTTATTACCCAAAAAAATATATTTTCGTGCATGCACCTAAAAACCCAAGAAAACTATGGTCACACCATTACAGGTGACCAAGTTAAACCACTAGACATAATGTATCCGACAAATGGATAGACCGGCTTACCAGTGTATGTACCTGGGTATCGACAACTGATCCAGGGTTGCCAACTTTAGTCAGCTGGCTGGAGTAAAATTTTCAGGTCAGAACAAATCTACACAGGCGTGCACATGCATTTGAATGTTTTGTAAGAGTTTTATTACTTTGTAAACATTCTGTAGGCTTTGAAAATGACCCCAACACTAATTCTAGGTTTATAATGGAATGGTATAGATTTGCTGTAAGATTTCTTGCAAGAGTGTGGAGTCTGAAAGCATGAGTATCACACCAGATGCGTGAGAGTTGACAGCCCTGCTGATCTCCTAAATAGAGTTGCTTGGCCTTGCTCTCCTCCCATCCAGGGGCTCGACAGAGAGCCTGCAGCAGCAGTGCACTGCCTGCCCCACGGGTTGCTTCTCCTGGCCACCCACTGGGCCCCTGGTAGCTTTGGACCGCGCTGTGAAGAAGGCCTGCCGGCTGGTGATGGATAGGCTACTACTGGAGCTCCAGCCGCTGCTGCTGAGGCTGCTCTCCGGCTCCTGGCTGACCCATGGCGAGGTCACCCCCCTGCTCTGCAGGGTTCTGGAGCGCCACTGTGAGCTATATGGCCATGTGAGGCCACCCTGTCGCCAGGTCAGACCCCTCCCCGAGCAGCATCTGGCTGCAAGGCTGTGGGACTCAGGCAAGACATCACACATCAATCACTTATGTTACTTTACGAAGCACATAGAGAGCCGAGGATAACCTCACATTGGCCACCAGGGTCAGATCTCAGCCTTGCTGCAAGACATGTGCAGTCTGCCTGTTCTCCCTGTGGCCAGCCTGGGTGGCGCTGTGGCCTCACACCATTGAGGCTGTGGGTTTCATTTCTGCCCCTGCAGGTGGAGTCTGCATGTTCTCCTTATGCTTGTATGGGTTCCCTCCCACCACCAAAATCCATGTGGTTTTTGTAGAGCAGTGTCTCTAAATTGTGCCCTTTGATGGACTGGCATCTCCCCCAGGATGCCTCCTACTCAGTGCTTGCTGGGAAACAGGATTGAAACAATGACACAGATCATTTGTGCCCTGATATAAGCAATGAATCACACGTCATTTATACCTTCTGTGGTGTAATACGAACCCAGGCCTTTGGTCCTCTTTGGCATGACCTCTCCTCATGCTCCCAGCGTCTACAGGAAGAGTGCCAGCGGCTGGTGGTGGTGGAGTATGTGCGCGCACTGATGCAGAGGAGGCTGGTGTGCCGGGGTGCAGGAGAGCGCCACCAGGTGGCTGAGCGCATAGTGCAGGATGCCCAATTGCTGCGGGACGTCTTCCAGGACATGGTGAGTATGTGGGTTTCCATCTGCATAGCAACCCCACAACAAACTTGCATCCGTATGCTGAAATTAATTAAAAAATCAAATATGATAACAGATTACATAAATCTTTGTAATCGCTACAGTAGTACATGTTTAATTAACTAAATAATGTGATGCTTCAGTGAAGACTGGTAGTTTCTGTGTGAATTCTGTAATGGCTGTTATTAGTGAGCACAGTGCCTGTATCTGACTGCCTGTCCATGTCACTGTCTAGGAGGGAGAGGGCTCGGTGAGTGGGGTTACACCCAGTGTGCTGCTGCCTATTCTGGCTGAAATCATCCGCTTGCAGGACCCCAGCCTGCTGATCCTGGAGGTATCCGGCCTGGTAGCCAAGTACCCTGACATCAGGTGAGCATTGGGGTAACACTCGACCCGCAGGGGTGGGCAATACCCATCTTCAACAACCATAAAGTAGTGCTACTTTTATTTAATTTCAGCGTTAAATGGCATGCTAACCATATACAATGTGTGTGTTATCATCCTCTTAAAAGTCCATCTCTTTTTCTTAAGCATATACCTTGTCAGTTACTCATGCCTTGTGTGTAGGTGTGTGTGTTACTGTCCCCTTAAATGTCCCCCTCTTTCTGTTAAGTACCCTGTGTCAGTTTGTCCTGTCATGTGTGTAGGTGTGTGTTACTGTCCCTTTAAATGCCCCCTTCTTTCTGTTAAGTAGCCCATATCAGTTTGTCCTGACCTATATGTAGGGGTGTGTGTTACTGCCCCTTTAAATGCCCCCCTCTTTCTGTTAAGTGCCTTGAGTCAGTTTGTCCTGCCCTGTGTCTAAGTGTGTGTGTTACTGCCCCTTTAAATGCCCATGTGTGTCTATATTTGTGTCCAGTGAGGAGCATGTTTCCGTGCTGCTGGATGTGAGGGGCGATGTTCCACGAGAGCTGCGAGGGGTGGTTCTTGACATGTTGGAGCAGAGCACCCCAATTCTCCCCCCTGGGTACCGTCCGGTGTTTTCGGACATCCTGGTGCCCCCCCGTAGCATGTCATTCTGCCTACCCACTGCCAGGTGTTCCTGACAAGAACAACCACTCTGACCAGTTTACTGATCAAGATCTCCTGCACTCTGGAAGTTCAAACCACTGTAGTTCTGTCTCACTATCCACTGCTACTGTTTCATGTAATCCTGAACTCTTAAGACAAAAAAGAGAAGGGGGTCTGGGAGACAGTGATCATGTGACCTGGCCTCAGACATTATGATAAATAGCAAGGTGAGGCCATATGTGATCATATGTGGCCCCCTCTCGTTTGTAAATTTCTTATGTTCTTATGTTATCAGCCAAGACGCACCTGGAAGGCAAAGGCAATGGTACAGCAGCAAACAGTTATTCACATTACACATGCTATATGTAATACATTTGCTAATAAAATTAATAAAATCTTGTACAATAAACTTGAAAAGAACTTTGCTGAGACCTCTCTAAATTCAATTATACATATGAAGTGCAGTGTTAAATTTGACAGCATACTTAGATTTAGTCTTAGTTTTCGTCCTTTGATGAATATGCAATTTAGTTTTAGTCATATTTTAGTTATCTGATTTTTTTAGCTTCAGACAATTTTTTTGAGGAAAATTATAGGATATTCAATTTATCTAAGTCTACAATAAACGCGGCCAATGAAAATAACTGGTTTAGTCAGTATTACATCATTTTCACATTTATTTGAAAATGTTGCTTATTTTTCTGGGTATACACACAAAGAGAATGGTCTACCTCTCTCCTCTATACAGATTCCTGAAGGAAACTTCTGTAATGCTTTTAGTATGACATTAGGTTTGAACATAACCACTGTAAAGATCGTAATATTGCAATAACTCTACAATGGCTTTATATGGTATTTTATTTATCCTTAAATAAATAAATATAAATGAAAGTAAAATTCACTCTCACACAAAAGACTTGTATATGTCCAGGTCTATTAAACAGGTGAAACGTTTTCACATCGCGTTTTATTTTGTTATAGTTATAGGTGATTATCCCGATGCCTTTCATTTAACATGCTTAATAATGTCTCTAAGGACAGTAGGAAACAGGGCTTGGCTTCAGTAGACGCTGCAGGTGTCGAGTCATGTTGAGCGAAGTAAAGCGTATAATTTTCATCATTAGGGTCGACCGCATCGCTGAGGTTATCGATTTAATCTAATAAGGCTTCGGGTGTAGGAGCGGGTGTTGCTCCGTCCATACCTGCTGATTCAGGTCTTACGTAGATTGTCTCTTAACAGACTCCCCTCGATCCACACCGTCTCTCGTAGAAAGAATACAGAATACCGCAATCTAAAAAAATATTAAATGGGTTTAAAGCACCCATATGCCAAGCCATTTTCTGCTTCATATCAGTCTCCTCACGCCATGCCAACCATATTTTTTTAAAAAAATATGAAATAAATAAATAAATAACAATACAAACCACTACTCCTGATGTCACATGACCCCTGTCCCAGTGACCTCTGCAACCCCACCTGTCACTTTGACAAATGTGACATCTTGACCTTTAGGTTATAAATGTTTTTGAAAGAAGCGGCAGGCAGTATCTCTCTCAGACTCATTCTATACTTCAGGACTGCTTTGAGAGTACTAGCTGGGATGTGTGCAGAACTGCTGCTTTCAGAGAGGATGGTAATACTGACATGCCACAGGGGTAACTGGCTACATCAGCTTTTGGAATGAAAAAGTTGTCCCCACAAAGAATAAAAGGAGCTTCCCTAACCAGAAACCCTGGATTAATGGAGAAGTCAGATCAAAGCTACGTGCACATTCCACTGCATTTCTCTCAGGCAATGTTGAGGAATACAAAAGGGCTAGATATGGCCTGCGTAAGTCCATCAGGGTTGCTAAGAGAAAATACAGGCAGAAATTGGAGGGATATTACACCACCACTGACTCCAGGCGTATGTAGCTAGGTTTGCAACACATCATTGACTGCAAGCAGAGGAACAGGGAGATCACAACCAGCCCTGCCACACTGCCAGATGAATTAGTTCTATGCCCGCTTCAAGGTCCTTAAACTTATTTTTTATTAAACTTATTTTTGGTGAAAGATGCGCTGTTATTCAGAGTGCAGCCCATTCTGCATTAACAGACGTTCTAACATAAATCATATATCATGCTATGTCATGTAAAACGTTGGTCGTGGTGCAAATGAGGAAGTAGTACTACATTTTCCAGTAGTACTACGTCCAGTAACTCTAGATAGTTGTAGATGCATGTTTTCTAGTTTTTATAAAACTAATAGTAATACCTAGGAATTCTCCCTTTCAAAGTTATTTCAAACATGTTAGAACTAAATACAAATCACAACACTACATAGCACGGTGTCATGCAGTGAAACATCAAAGTTCTTATTGCAAATTGGGTCATGTAAGCCGTTCCCGCTGGAAAACCGTGTCTCATTCAGTCATGACGCTCAACATGAGCTCAGTCGGTTGCGCCGCCTGCGCTACATGCGCCTGCGCTTCGAGCACCTGCGTCGACTGCGCCTGCTCCGTCTACATCGCCTGCGCATGCGATCTAGGCGGAAGGTATATTTCCGAACATGTCCGGATTGCCGATCTCTTTCGTACAGTCGCAGCTGATATGGCGGCGGTGCTGAGAGGCCTGCAGGCTGTGAGGGTCCTGCGCGGTGTTTGCCGCGGTGAGCTGTGTGGGGGCTTCGGGGCTTCAGGGCTTCGCTCCTCCGGACCTCGGAAGTCCGGGGGTAAATCCTAAGTCATGCCAAATCTTTTGAATGTGCGTCTGTGCTTTCGTGTAGCCACGCAAGGTGATTATGAAGGACGGGTTAACTAACTAGTAGTACAGCGGTAATCGACCTACCTGACGGTTTGCCAGCTAATAAAACTAAAAAAGCTTTTGCGTCCCCGGCAGTGTCAAAGGAGTGAAGTAGATTACGTTCTGGGTAAGACTGTACTGCACAGCCTTGGTTGTGACTTTATCTGAACCAGTCTTTGTTACGTAATTGTTATGTTTCTTAACTAGCTTATTCATTTCTCATTCATTTCTTGAAGAGCGAGCTGCCTCGGTTACTGTAAAAGTGGATTCAAATAAAAAATGTTAGATTTATTAATTTGGCTCCTCTGTGATCAACAGCTGTTTTAGTCATTAAAAGTGATACGAGACCGTATATTTAAGCTTATATACTTATGTTCAGTCAGGTCATGGGGGAAAATAACTTTATGTTTAATTTATACCTGAAGTTTTTTTTCTAAGTTGAAGAATATTTTGATGACTTTAGTGGTTCTTAAACAAAAAACACAGTAAAATGGCACATGTGTCAACACCAGCAAGCAAACAGAATGACCTTGAATCAGAACATACGTTTAAAAGATTCCAATGAGCGCTTAACCAGAATATTAACTATAACCAGTATTTTAACCATATAAGAGTTACTCTTTCTCCAGTTGGCGTTTCTGTGCACGAGTGCAGGAGTGCCCAACGAGGTGTCCACTGCTGTGGTCTTCTGTACTCAGAGAACAGCACCTCCGTGTCCTCCTCCACACACCAGCACCGCCAGGCTCAGGCACCTGAGCAGGATCCAAGTAGCACGACGTCCGACCAAGTGGGTCCACAGCCCAACACCAGGTCAGCACACTGGCAGGAAGCAAGTATGTTGTGAATACATGTCACAGATCAGGCATACAAGATTTAGTAATATGGATGCTTTTGATGTTAGGTTTATACTGTTATGCTCATTAGTTGTAATGGTTCCTGCCATCAGTAAGGTTCCTGGCATGCACTGGCATGCTTCACCTCTTTAGTTTACTGTGTTGCCTGATGACCTTGGATGGATGGAGTGGTAGCTCTGAGGCTTGGGATCTGTGCCAGCAAGTGGAAGGTTGTCGGTTCGAATCCTGTGAAGTGATCCTACCCCATTGGGCCCTTGAGCAAGGCCAATAACTCGCAATTGCTTCGTCCTGGGTATGATGTTAATCTACATCCAGCCCTATAAGGAGGTCCTGCAACTTGCAGGGAAAATTTGAGGATTGTGTGGGGGCTTCGGGGCTTTGGGGCTTCGCTCCTCCGGACCTCGGAAGTCCGGCTGGATTGGCGCTCCAGCTACTGGAGGAAACTCGCACTGTTTCATTCGGACTACTCTGGTGCTGAGGTATCTCCTGATGCATGGCTGCACTCAGGTTCTCATCCCTGAGATGGTTTGTTATGTGGTGGGTGTGGCAATGCGCTGAAATCTGCACCCAATCCTTACCTCCCCCTCCTGATGACCTTTGTCCTCCTGTATAATCAGTATATGTACCAGAATTGGTACAGTCTTTGGATGGCCCATGATTATCATGGCAACCACTGTGTCTGATGCTGCTCAGCAACAAGAGCTGTACAATTTTCTTAGTGAATTGTTTTTATGCTCCTCCAAAATCTGTTCTGTGTGTACGCAAGTTTTGCATTTTCAGGTGAAATCCTGAAGTTTTAGATCAGTGTCTATAATCTTAATTTTTGAGTAACAGAAACCTTAAGAAACAAGCTTTAGATAAGGATGTATTTACAACTTAAACATCACCTGAGGCCACTGTTAATAATGCAGTCAATGTAAAAATTGTACTTTTGCCAAAATTAACATTTAGGTTGATAAAATTGTAAATGCAGTTTTGTTTAGTGTGTTAATATTTTCATTGAGAAAGTCATGCATTTGTACATATGTCTCATTACGTTTTATAGTGTATGATGTTATATAAAACAGATATAAACATGTAGGTTAAGTGCCCATAAATGCTTATTGCAGCCGTTTTGAAAGTAACCTAAAAGGGGGAGTGTCCAGCAGTGTTACTCTGCTTTTCTCAATTGCATGTGCCCTCCCCCCACCCACCACAGCTATGCCAACCAGAATGGGGAGCAGAGTGAGGATTATGAGACGGAGGACCAGCTGCAGGCGCGCGTTCTTAATGCTGCACTGGAGTTTGTCCCACAGCACGGCTGGTCTGCGGAGGCCATTGCTGCTGGCGCTGAGGTGAGCCGGGGTGCAGCATTGTGGTTGGTAGGTCTGGATGTGATCAAAGCCTGTTGGGATTCTCCAGGGGTCCCCTTTTCATCTGTGCTCTTGGTGGGTGCCGAGCACAAATGGCCGGCAGTTTTTATCAGATACAGTATATAAAAAACACAGCGCTTGGCCTGATACTAGCAGCGGTACAGACAGGGAAGCTAACAGTTTTATGGTGCGTTCGATTATTTCTCTCCAAGTCGGAACTCGGATGGAAATGTCACGATACGTCACGAAAAACATCACTTCCCGTCGGAAACACGCCCCTTTTATGACGTTGAAGTCGGATAAGATTTTGTTGCCCGAGTTGCCCTTGTGACGTAATTTCAACATGACGACTTGGTTTGTTTGTAGTTTATTTACTGTTCGAAAAAAGAATATCACTATGAATGTACTAAAATATTTTATAAAGCTTTTAATGTGGTTTGACTAGTTCGTGTTTCTTGTTTGTCTCTCGGAAAAATCTAAATTTCTCCATTTTCT